TAAAGTGCACAACGTTACAAGTGGGGAACGCAATACGTCCCGACGAAAGTGACACACACACACACCCGTGTGCTACAATCGCGCGCGCGAGCAACATAATAAATACGTTCGAATGGCGTGCAAAAATTACGGACACACGTGATGACGATACAATTGGCGGTCGTTTGGCGGTGGAAACCGGAGAGATCGGCGAATAAAGAGGAGTGGAAAAAAATTCCGGCGAGAACGGTGTCGTTGGACAATTAATTCTAGCGCGCACCGCAACCTTTACCACTCTCGCGCGCCCCACGGACTTTCGGACGAAACAATTTTGTTTGCGGGTCTCTCGTTATTTCGAGGTTTTTGCGGCGGTAACAGCGTCAGCGGTAGATGGTACTGTCGACGGACAAGCGAAGCCAGACCATGAGGGGCGGCACTTTTCCCCCTGAATTATTGATGACAACGTAATGGATCTCAATGGGGTCGGATGTATATATATGTGCGTCGCTGTATCCGGTATGCACACGTACGGAAACTGCCGCTTCCCGTCTTTTTACTGCGCGTCGGAGGGAACGCGTGATTCAAAGTTCAAAATCTCCCGATGGCGTCGAATCGTCGGGAATAAATCAACAAATTGGGCCGATCATCGTAACCGACTGCATCGCCATAACTAATCAGTACGGTCGAAGATTACATCGATCCTCGATTCTCTCTCACCGCGCGGCGCGGATTATTACTCCGCGTTGCGCAAGATTTCTCATGCATGCGCGCGATGCATATCCTCCGCGGCTCAATGATGCATTATTGCTTCTTGGCCAATCCTTAAGGTAGACGCCTCTGGAGATCGTGATGAATCTGAAACACCGAGTCCGTTTTCGGCCAACCGGATCTGTTGTCCCGTCGCTCGGCCATGAGATACGTGGCGAGTCCAGCCGTAAGTTTCACCGGCTCCTCCTTGTACAAATCATGATCGTGTAGTGCTTTTTTTCGAATCTTCGGCACGGAGATACCTACCTAAAAATACGTGGCCGATAACTCGCGTTCTCCACGACGCGCCGGCTGGAATATTCGGTTGATCGAACCTGCCGTGCAACCTCCCGCGTGCACCGCGGAAAGATTTACAACCGGTTTCACGCACCGTAGTCACCGGGGAGTGCACGCGACGACGCATCTTCGACTTCTTCGGTGAGACAGAGGCAGGGCTAGCCTACTTTCTCTACAAAGAGAATTTTTACGTGTGAGGAAGGCTCCCTCTTCTCTCGTCTTCCTCGCGTCGCCGTGCCCTCTCTCTTTCCTGTCTCCGGTACCCTTAGGCGCGCGCGCTCACTCTCTCCTTTTCCCGGGTCTCCTTTCCACGATTCACCCGGCAACCTCAGTCGACGACTTCTCCGGCTGGTAGCCCTCCTCGGAGTCTATATAAGCGAAGGCTTCATGCGAGACTGAACATTTTTTGTGTTAGTACCGGCGAGTCGTGGTGCTCAAAGAGGCTGCGGGCTGACGAGTGCCAGTATGGTGTGCGCGACGTGTGATACGACGAGCCACCGTTAAATCGCATACGACTAGCTCGGGGTAGACGCGACTTCCTTTAAAGTGCCGTGGCGAAAAGTAGTCGAGAGCGCGGGGACGGAGACTCACGGAGTGCCGGATAATTTGTGTGTAGTGCCGAGACGGCGGTTTATGCGCGTGTGTCATGGTTAAATTCAAGGTACGTCGCGATTGTCGTGTTTAGTTTGTCCGTAGGACGTTTATCCTCGACTTAAGGTTAAATCAAATGCTGCGACCAAACAACTTACCGCTGTTTCTTCATGTTCAAATGAAAGAATAGATTTGTTTGTTTAAATGAAAGAAATATTAGTATTTAAATGAAACAATTTATAGCTTGATATATCGATAAAATTAGCCGATTGATCATTCATATTTCATTTGTGATTATATCTCCTATCAGAGATAGTGATTCGTTGGATGACGCCGTTGGTTATCCAAACTTCAACACTTTCCAAAGCACATTTCGAAATAAAAATATATATTTGGCCAGTGACGTTTGAAACAACTGATTCAAATTATGCTTCGTTGAATCTAAGTATGTAATTATCGAATATCGTTGACGTAATTACTCGCGTATCTGCAGAACAGACGAGAAGAACCTTCGTGTTTTGATGGAACGGCTTTTCAAGCACACAGCGCCTATACCCCCACTTCGTCCGACAGCGAAAGAATGAAACACCATAGTGCGCAGAAATCTCTACGACTGAAATAACGTTACACCCTCGATGTGAATAAATTTCCGTACTAATAAGGGGCGAATGAAAGGGGTGCACGATAGGGGTCTTAGGCGTATGCATTATCGATAATTGCACTGCGACGATTCCCAACCAGAGATTAAGTAATTGCCGGTTTCTTATCGTCGGGTCTGATAACGACTAATCCGAGTACTGTACCGGACAAATCGATTCTTCTAATACGAGCTCGAGTTTTCGCCGAACGAATTTTCTTCTCGACATCGGGACTGACGCGAACTGTAAGATACTCTCGGAACACGTGAAAAAAAAGACGCAAGAATTCAATGACGAACATTCGAATAAAAGTGACCTCATAATCGTTTGAAAATGTGGATCGTTGAACCCGCGTGCCGGACGATACACGCGAAAACGAGAGTCCGCACGAGTTACGCGCGCTTCCGTACGGGCGGCAAAAAGTGTATCCGCATGCGGTTATCCGTAGCCACAAAAGAAAACGACAGAAATAAATGTCGTTTCTTTTATTACTGGCTCAAATTCTGCTGGTGCTTTTTGCCTCATCATACATACACAGCTCGCGTTCGCGGCGGTAGCGAGATGATCGATTCAGATTCACACAAGTGCGATCTAGCCCAGTGTGTACAATCGCTAATGTAGCTCTCTATTTGGCGACGCGACTCTCTCCATTATTACTATCGGAAAGTGATGAATGCGAGATTTACGCATATGTGTTACGGACGATTATGCACTTTCGAAAAATTAGTTCGCCATAATATCGTCGATTAAATCAACCTCGCTTCTTTACACGCATCTCTGCGGATGTGCGAAGTTACACATGGTAGAAACTTAATGGGCCATATTGGCTGCGTGGCCGTTGCTTGCATCGAAAATTGCTTGTGAGACTGATTATAATCGTGAGTTTCTGACGACAGATAAGAAATCATTAACCAGATTGCGATAATAAGACCGAGCTGTGGCCGTGAATTGCCGGAATAAAAGACACTTCCTCACAATTTCTCCCGTCTACGAATTCTGAAATTATTCCGAGTTCTCCTGACAACTGCGCTTTGGGCGTGAATAATTAAATATCAGTGAAATACAAAACGATAAAGGAGCCTTTAGGAATGTAATTACTTGAAATCGCAATTATAAGCAATGGGTAGTCGGGTTACAAACGTTTCCCGTGGTCTCTGGAGAAAGTACGGTCGATTATGTTAGCCTTGCATCTCGGCCATCGTGCTACTTAAGAGAAGTCAGTCGATGGTTTCTTGCCGGCATTGACAGGCGGTGAGCTTGTGCGCATTCTCATCGCTTCGTCTCTCTTCTAATACCTTCCGAAGAAAACACAAAAAAAATCTTGCAACTGGTTATCGTAGTGATACTTTACGTAAAGAGAGCTCGGTGACACATCTCGATAATCTTGACAAATCGTGAATGTTCTTTTGTTAGGTGAACAAGAAGTTAATTATTACGTCAAAATAGCATATTATATGATTTTATTACAATTATTTATGTTATTTTCCACTGTGGCAAACGATCCATTACCCACTATATAGTAAGTAATACGGCCAAAAGGAAGAAACGTTTTCCTAGCATGAATAATAGTTTCTTTTGCAACGGACATTTATTACGAAATAAACGAATTTTGTACATTCCACAATTTTCAGTTTTATATGTCATGGGAATAGCACTTGACTCGGATTTGAACAATTGCGATCGATTAAGAAGATAGTCGCAATTGAGACGCGTTTTCATCTTACGAAATCACACAGTATATTACATACGTTTCCTTTTCACGATCACAAGTGAACATGCGCAGTAGCTCGGTGTGCTAAAAATTATCATTAATTAAGAAGACTAGCTTAAATGGGCAAAATTAACATTCCAAAAAGGATGTCACTCGCTCATTTTTCGCAACTCGCTTTCATGCAACACCCCGCTTACAATTGACGTAATTACTCATTCGTCCGCGCCTCTTTAAGCCCCTTAGAATGTGTAAACGTAGCTTTACATAATTTTCACATACGTTAAGACTTCCACGGCTTAGGCGAGTAGCGTAGAATTTCCCACGGCCTCCAATATGGTCGCTGCACAATAACGAGTGGATCTCCGTATGTATGCTGCAAAATTATTCTTAAGCGCCCAACGAACTAATTAGAACACGCATAGCACGACGTTTTCAGATGCCTGCTCGAAACGGTAAAAGATGTAATTATTTTCTTCTTATTTTCGGCGACAGTTCAAAGGGGTGGATAACAATCTTGTGATACATCGTTTATTATGTTCCGCACACGCTCGGATACGTTTAGTCAACGTGGCGGTCTGTCTGGAGAAACAAACAGCTACGTGAGAACAAAAGTATCAGAGTAATTTTTGGTTCAATATTTAACAAATATTGAACGAATTGTAATAGTTCGATTTGTATGCATTACAATGTTCGTTGCGTTAAATTCTTAATGCTCTTTCTTTCTCTCTCTATGCATATCTACATATTCAGTATTTAAATGCGAAACAGAAGCTATGCAAAAACATGAACAAAATATATGTGACGTCACGGCAGTTTTATCACGAAATAACGCGACGTTTTCTGATAATTTGTACGCAGCGATGAAATTTTCCGAGTGTAAAGCGTCATTATCTCCCGTCTTTGTACGCGAATGAACATTATCCCGCGAAACTGCAGCAGAGAGTCGTAAACACGACGCACTCAGTATTCGGGAGTATGAAAAAAACGAAATTAATCGCGCACTTTCTCCGATTCTAGCCATACCGTTCTGCTTTTAGATGCTATCCGTGCTGCTGTGCGTCCTGCTGATCGGATACCACAACCACGTGCAGGCGGTAGTGAACAAAGCGAGCTCGCAAGTACCGTTAACCAAGGAAGAAGAGAAACCCGGCAAGGCCGTAGCCGGTGACAGAATAAGCAATACTTTCGCCTCTCTGTCCGAGGAATACGGACCGCCGTCAGGGTTTAACGGGCCGGCGCCGGTGTACGGGCCTCCGGAGTTAGTCGGTAACCTCGGGCCAACGGCCGTTTATCCACCGCCACCAGCGGAATTGCCGCCGCCTGTGTACGGAGTGCCGGTCGTCTCCTATGGCCTGCCGGCGCCGTTGCCGCCACCGCGGAGTATCAAGCCGCAATATGTAGCCCCGCTGAAGCAAAGTTTCACCTTGCTATCGACTTCCCTCCTGCCGAAGCCTAGCTACGGCCCGCCGAAACTTCATTACGGACTGCCGAAGCAACACTTTACGTCGTTCCCGCAATTCAGATTGCCGAAACCTCAGTACACTCCAGCATTGAAGTTCGTCGGTACATCGAGTCAGTACGGGCCGTTCAAGGCAGGCCACGGGCCACCTATCCCTATATCGCTCGAGACTTACGGTCCGCCGCCTCCGAAATTAGCTATTCAGTTTAATCCTCTGGCCAATGACGAGTACGGTCCGCCGCCCGCGCCGCAACCGCAATACGGTCCACCGGCCGGTGATTTATACGAGCCTCCGCCGCCGGCACCTCCGCCAGGAGTTCCAGCGCCACCCACGCCACCTGACATAAAGTACGATGGATGGCAGCCCATCGCGGGATTGGCCAGCTCCCCTAATCAAAGTGGCCCACCGACAGATACGTATGGTCCACCCACCGAGGCGAAGCGTAATTACGCGAAGGGCTCGTCTTCTTCCGGCACGCACTTGTCCCACGCGTCCTTGAGCGTGCCGACCGACTCGAACGTGCCGAGCGACTCTTACGGCGTGCCGATACACAACCCGGAGGCGCAGGACCTGAAGACGTCCGTGCACCAGTCTTCGGAGAGCAACGGACTGCCGCCGCCGCCGTTGCCGCAGCAAGAGCCGCTGCACAACAACCAGGGTCCGGGGGCCGTCACTTCCGCCGACTCGCATCAATACGGCGCGCCAAACATCGAGCCCTTGTCCATCGTGAAGACGGTGGGATTCGAGTTGTTACCGACGACCGGGCCTGTGACCGACGCGGACCTCCACGGTTTGTCATTGTCGGACGTCTCGTCCTTCAACCACGTCAATTCCGCTTCGCTTCACTCCGACGGCAACAACGGGGATTCTCATGGCTTCCAAAATGCGGGGCTCGACCTGCCGCCGCAGACGAGTGATTACGGCGCGCCTTTCAACACTTTCGCCGGAGTTTCACCGCCCTTACTGTCCCCTCCGCCTTTGGACACCTATGGTGCGCCACCTCTTTCATCTTACTCGCCCAACGGACCGTACCCGGTCGGTGGACGAGGCGCGCCTCCGTTCTTCGGAGCGTTCGGAGGCTCTTTCCATAAGCAAAACCTGCACCATTCCAAAGCCCACGCTCCGTTCAGACCACCGGTTCCTCTCGGTTCTCTGATACCGCCGCGCAATCGGGATCCGATCAAGTTCAGGGAACCTATACCGACGGGCCTCTTGTCGAACATTAATCGATATGTGCCGGCGTTCGCGAAACAAAAACTGCCGTCGATACCGCTCGGACAACAATTGCCGAGCTACCACGCGCCAGTACCTTTCCGTTACGCATCGGGACCGGGTAATTCGTTTTCCGGCTCCCTTTTCTCGGCCGGATACAATTCCCCGATTGCCGCGCCGCACGTTCAGTACGGCACGCCGCTGTCCTTCACCGACTTCAATACACCAGCACCCCAATTGACGTACGGAGCGCCTAATTTCGGCCCACCGACCTCTTACGTATCGACGTTCTCCGGATTCGGTCGGAACCTTTACAGCGATGTTGGCAACGCGTTGACAACGACGTACGGCGTTCCGTTAGTGAACGACGCGTCGTTGGCGATCAGCGGTGGTCACGACTGCAATTCCCTGCAGCCGCTCTTTCCCTCGAACGTACCGGAATTGTCCGCGAGAGGAGAGCCACCTTTGAGTAGTAGTTTATCCTCGAGCGGAGAGGCGCCCTTGGACGGGCAGCTGGCCAGCGGATTACCTGCTGCACATTCGAACGGTAAACTGCAATTCGGTTTTGAAATCGCGCCGAATTCCGCCGGGCATACGGTCTTCGCTAACTCGCTGTCAACGGGCTTCGCGAGTACCGGCGTCAGTAACGGCGCGTTCGGCCAGCCGAGTCCGGTCTACAACGGCGACTCCTCGCCCGCGAAACCGTTCGATAACTTCTTGGGGGGACCGTCGGTGAACACGCTGGACTTGCAACACAATGAGCAGCAAAAGGTCAACCTGAAAGACAGCTACGGCAATCCCGTGGGAGTAACTTACGACGCGAGCAACGAAGCGAGCAAGACCGTCCACGCGACCACCCGCGATGTTTCGAACGAGATCTCCGCGCATTTCTCCAGTCAGAATGTCTATCCCGAAGCGGCGAAGCTCCAGCGCGGCTCGAAAATATCGCCCGAGGCGTTCACCGCGAGCCTAACCGCGCAAAGCTTCGGTAGAGGGAAGAATCTCGACTCGAACGAGGTGGACGCTGGTCAATTCTTAAAGTCGAGCGAGGGCAGCGAGGCGCTGTCTTTGGCGCAACGACTGACCGCGAACAATGCTGAAGATTTTGAGATTCAAGGCTCCAAAGGCACCTACACGCTGCAGATACAACCTGCAAACGGAGGATTTGGCACCGAAAACTCGGACGGCGGCATCAGGCACGATCACGTGTTGTCCGATGGACTGCTGCAGAACATAATAGCCGCTATAGAGCGACCGGGTGACGGTCCCGTTCAGCTTCAAGGTCCACCGGAGTCTCAGCTGTTGAAGAAAGTTTTCGACAATTTGCCCGAAGGGACCGATGTGAAAAATCACTTGATCAGTTCGCCGGAGAACTGCGGACCGCAAGAACGAAGCGAGCAAGTTGGCGTTAAGAGCGCAAACGACAAATATCCGCCTGTGGCTTTATTCTTTAACGCTAAGTACGGAGAAGGGAAAAATGAGATTAGATTGATGTCGAAAAGCGAAACCCAAGTCACGAAAGAGACCGGACAGAGCAAAACGCAATCCTTGTAATCTAGATTGTTGCCTTTATGAAAATATTTCATAGTAATTTTCATGAGAGAGATGCATCCTGAGATCGCTCGGATGCGGAGAGTTCCGACGGGGATATCGCGATGCTATTTACTTTCTTTGCTTGCGGTCGATCAACTAAGAATTCCGGTGAATGATCTGCGAAATCTGCGACAATGTCGCAACTAGTTTTTTGCATATCGGAGCGTTATAGCCACTTCGGTAACTTCCTCCTTCGAATCATAAAGACGAATGATCGCATTTCCTTATGTTTTAACATATGAGGATTTTCATGTTTTGCGAAGAAGTTCCACAACGTGCGCGTTGTAAACTGGCAAAGAAACACATTGAAGTGTACCCTTCCGATTTTAATGAGTTTCGAATATGTTGAAAAATGGGAGACACGTTTGTTATACGTGTTCACTTTTAGAGAGTAAAAAGAATCGGTTTTTGTTCTTTCGGAGGGCGGAAATATCACATGACATTTATGCTTGAAACATATTCGCATGTGATGATCATGAAAAAAATGTTGAATACAAAGAGATTTCTTACAATTCGGTCTGACCTGAATCAAAATCAGAGTAAGACATTTGCGTGTGTTTCTTTGTGAGTATGAAACAACGTTCAGCAACTCGATGTTACAGCTCTTCCCGATAACTTGTTTTATCGTTTGAATTCTCGAAGTCATTCTAGCGTAAATGTTGCACCGTGCAATTTCTGGTGCGGCGCTTCAAAAACACCTTCACAAAAGTATGATCGACTGGAAGCTGGAATTAGAAGGCACGAGCCGCGCGAGTGGAGAACGAAAGTAAATGTAATCCTTTTTCTCTTATTGCAAGCAAGCGAAAGTGATAATTACTTGTTGGCCAGTGTATCGATAACAGGTTATTAGACGAAGCGCTCGTTCAAGAAGTACTTTTCAGCAGGATTACGCGAGCGATTGTAGGAAGAGAGACGCGCGCGAGTGCTTGCGGCATTTTTATCGCATGGTCAGATTTCACGTTCGCGAATTGTACGTTTACCGGAATTTGACCGACCAAAGAATACAGGACGTTCGCCGATGTCCTCGCGTCAGCGGCTTATCCTACCCTTCGTCGTCCGTGGAAATCTCGTCGGCTCGATAGCTCTTCTCCCCGAGAACGGATCACTGCTAATTATTCGACGTCGAGCGAGATTTTTGTTGGACCAGCGGTAATCGCTGGCATTATCTTTAATCCGATCCCAACGAAAATGGCCTGATATTCGCCGTTTGCTCTCGTGTGATATGCAGATACATCATGCGCGTTTATTAATACTCATGTAGGTCAATAGGTTACGGCGCTGCTCTCGCGAAGTATACAGCTAGCGACGTGGCGTCGTAAGCCGCGCAAAGTCGTTCGATCGTCGTTCGCCGGTCGGTGATCGACGGCCTCGTATCTTTCGCGGTTTCAACCTTTGCCGAGGTGAATGTTCAAAACCTCGTTTAACCACCCGGAGGCGGAACAGTACCTATGAAAATCTCGTTTTGAGTGAAACGCATCTCTCTTGCGGGCGTTCGAGCGATTGTCCTCTGTAACGAATAATCGGTGGATGCGGATACGTCTAGTCCGCTGCTTACGTGCGAAAAAGGAGGAACACACGCCACGTGCTTACGGGGGCTGCGTGCGGCGGAAATATAGAGCACCCTTGAAACGTCGATACTATCGGGAGAGAACGAACCATTACTTCCTTCCGCGGTAGTCGTGCCGCGCGTAAGTCGAAAATGAGTGCGTGTCGTGAAAGCGCGCCGTTAAAATCCCGAATGTGGCGTAATCTTAAAGTTCTTGCATTTTTATGGTTTCGCCTGGCAAACGGTTATGCATAACTTGGTGCACCATTGCAGATACGTAAAATAAGTAGAGCGTATACGTTCAAGAGACGTGTTCATTGTTACGAAGTAACGCAGCGACGATACTGCCAAGCCATAAAACGCATCCACTCGCTCCTAACCCATATCCACCTTCTCTCTTTTTTTTAGGGTTTTAATTTATTCTTTTATACGCGCGTACAGCACGGGCATCCAGCTTATATCCGACGAGCAATCGACGCTATCACTCGCCGGATATAACGAACTTGTTAGCTTGTACTTTTGATATATCTACGCCTAGTATGTAAATATATCGACACTCTTTGTAAATAGAGCTCAATTTTTATTTATACCCTATCCTTTCTCTTTCCGCCCCTCCCTCTCACTCTATGCCCTTTACCTCTCATTCCTATTTAATTTATTATACTAGGCCCTCGAATATACAATGAATGTGACAATAAAAAGCTGCAATTGCAAGATTTTCATTAGAGTATACATTATTCTTTCACGTGCGCGTTGTTACATCGGCGATCCTCCTATTTTCTATTTACAACCGACGCGTTACGCCGAGCTCAACCGTAAATATTGACGTTAAGAGCGCGGGATATTACGGAAACACGGTGTTTTCGAGTCCATTTGCAGAGATTGGTCCCGCCGTAATGTGGATTACAAGTTTGCACATCCGAAAGTGTTTGTTTCGTGAAAGTACCCGGCTACATCGGCGGTCGCCTAAATACCGCGAATTCTGGCACGGCGGAGAAACGGGAAACGTATGAGGGAATTAGGTATCCGCCACTAAGTAGAATTACGGTTATGTAAATGAAACGCTATCGTTTCGCCTTCGGTTAGGACGGTTAGCGCCCAGTTCCTCGCGCCGCTAAAATCGGCAGATTTTCCACGCGAGTCCGTTCGTCGGCTTTCTTTCCTCGCTATTTGCGCCGCGTCGTTCCGCGCGTTCGCTTCATTTTCTCGCCTTCAGCCTGTGCTTCGCGTTACAATACGATCATGAAATCTCCTTTTGTAATCTGCAGTCCCGAAGCTATGAGAATATTCACACGTTTCCAACGCGCTGAGCAGACGAGCTCGCCCGCGTTAGAGTGGCATTGAGCAAACTAATTCCCGACGATCGCTGGATCGACATTGTTCCGACTCTTCGTCGGCCTTCCTTCATCTGTAACCTTCTCGGTCATTAGTTCGCGGTAAGAACGAAAATCGATACCGAACAAGGATGACGTCACAATCACAATAAAGTTATTTTGTTGCCATTGGAAGGTATCGAAAGGTATCGAATATTTATAATGCTCAAAGCAACGATCCTTCTCGCGAAATTCGTGAAAATTCATCGAACATTACAACGAGGAAAAAAGCCAATGCCTGCAAAGACGAAGTGAATTTCAGTAAGGCGCGGGCGATCTAGAAGGCGCATAACGACTTCCTTCTCGTGTAGTTTTAATCGTACACCGTATCGCGTGGAGTTCCTCGAGACGAGCTGGTGACGAGGAGGGATTGGGAGGGATCTCGAAGGAAGGTTTCAAGGGTTAGCCAGGGGGAACGTATGCATTTTTCGCGGAGCTCGGAAGTGCTTTATTTCCATACTGAGGTCGTATCCGTACACACCGACAGTCATACTGATCTCAGGAGGCACGTTGTTGCCTCATGGGCGATATATACGGAATATAAGGCAAGCCGACAGGCGGAGTCTCGGATGTATCGTTGCCGGTATGCCCGGCGTAGACCCTTCGCCGAAGGCAAAATTGTCTTTCCTGTGAATAGCAAATAGTTGCTGAAAGCGAGATCTCCGAAGGAGAAAATCCTCCCTTGAGATTATAGGGGACGGCTGGAAGATAACGATACTTAAATCGTTCCGATGTTGTCTCGTCCAACTTCTCTCCGTTCTTTGCGCGACGCACTAACAATCGTATCGGCCGGCAGCTAAACTAATAGTTACGTTTGCTCGTTTATCTTTCGCGGCACACCGTATGCACGCGGGCACGACTTAAAACGGTATGTAATGTGTAATTATAGTCTCTTGATTAAGGTCTTTCTCACTCGTTATGTTTTTTTCCCTTCACACTGGTATCGCGATAAAGTGGGTCTCTAGCACGGTACATTTTTTGTCTGCACGCGAGTTTAAGTTTCACGAACGGTAATGCAACTAATAACGCTGTGTCATTGTTTAGGTGCTCGTTACTTCATTCATGTCTCGAGTTTCGAATTTTCCATTCGCTCTCTGATCAGTTTCGAATCGATTCGTCGACTTTTCCTTTGTCGTCTAACTTTATTTCAATTTATTTATTTTTTACTATTTTATACCGCAATTCTCTCTCAAATGTCGAACCAAATTTTGTCGTTTTCATTACTAAGATTTAAACCGTAAAGCTTTCTAGATTTTCAATAGTTTATAATTTCAAGAATACCGACGCTTTGAAACTTTATATTATACTATACTATAAATTCTCTTACTTTCTTAAAATAACCGAAATCTACAAATGTTGAATTTCACTTAGAAGAGTAATCGACAGGCATAGAAAAAAAAAAAAACAGACGAAACGCGACTGTTCTTATTTATATTGCACTTACAGTCTCATATGACCCATATCTCGTCGAAGGAGAGTGTAGCAATTTCATAGTGAGCGGAGAAAGGTGACAGGCGATATACATCGGAAGAATTTCGACGATCTCGTGGAAGTGGTTTGACCTTCCCGAAAGAAATTTCTTCAGCATAGAAAAAGGAAAGTGTAACGGGAAGATGCCTGACAACTTGCTCTATAGAATAAAGAAGACAAAAATTCTCATACAGATAATCTCGTATTAAGTCTCGATTAGCGCTCCAATTGTGTCAATAATATATTTCTCGTGAAAGTCTTCGCGCGATAAGATCTGCAGAATTCTTAAGTTACACATGAGATATTAACCTTTGTTTTCAGATCTTCGGTAAATCAATTCCACTTGTAGATCGCGAAAGAAAAAGTTCCGCTGGCAATCAAGATAATCGAAGAATCATCCGTGAGAGTCTGATTAAGTCAAGACGCTGCACACAACAGACCTTCGCACGCTTTGCACTTTCGTTCATCAATCTTTCCCAAGCAGTTGTCTCGAGCATTTTAATCGCGTTATCTACGTAGATCGAATATCGACACATCCGCGATTGCTCATGATTGTGAAAGATAACGGGTGTTTATGGATATGATGAATGACACCGTTTCGCGCTATATGCGATGTATGCGCGGCTCCTAATTAGGTTCGCCGGATTAGCGACGCACAGTTTCGCCCGTATAATTAATTTATTGATGTATCAGCCGGATAGCGTGTGCGAGACAGCGAAGAAGGATGAGGCGTGATTGCGTACTTCACGCAGCATTGCTCGAAAGTCAACGATCTACACCTACGCAGCCGATGAATAAATGTCGAAGCTGTTCGCTGAGCTCACGTAATCGTTCTTTCGTAAAACATTAACCCAACACGTAATCACTCTAACACATGTTAAACTGTCAGGATAAATTTCACTTTTATTTATACAATCGCTTGTTTTATTTCTATCATGATCGACATTTATTTAATTTATTTCGAGCAAGTAACATTTAACTTTGCAAGATTTTTAAAATCGTCGATCATGATAGAAATAAAACAAGCGATTATATAAATAAAAGTGAAATTTGATTTTTACTTAAAGAAGGACTGTGAGAATTGCCACAATTCTTGCATGTTACGGTTACAAAATCAAGTGTGAAATTAATAGGCAAGGAAAAATCTTCTTCGGACTAACAGGTGTATTAATGTTCGACCGACCACTCGAAGGAAACAACAAGAAAATCCGCGTTTGCAATCTGAATCCGCAATCTCTCGGACAAGACCGCAGCATGGATAAGAAGACACATGCCGTGACGTAGCTAAGGAAGACTAAGACTGCGAAGGGTGGATGCGAAGCAGACAATAAGAGAATAAGGACGGGAAGTAGAGAGAGAGAGAGAGAGAGGGTAGCGGGGAAGAAAGACAGGAAGGGAAAGAGCGGGCGAAAAAATAGAGCACGCTCGTAATCGAAATAGAGGAAGAGCAAAAAGGGGGCGCGGAGGTGGGAAGAAGTCTACGAGGAATTCCATAAAAATCGGTGAAATATGCATAGTACCGCGGAACGTGGAGAAGCGACGCGACGTCGTCGAGCGTCTCCGGGGAAACCGGAATCTCGGCGCGGAAAGAAGGAGAAAGAACGGTCCAGGGAGCGAGGCGGAAGAGGCGCAAGAATGAGGCTGCTTCTCGGGGAGGAGAGGAGGTGGCGTGAAGAACAGATAAAGGAAAGGGAGGTTAGAGAGCGAACATTTGGAACGTCTTTCCCGAACGAAATCTAATTTCGGTCCCATGGCGAAACTAAGCTATTTTCCCCGCAATATGCACGCACGCGAGCGTGCGCAAGTGTTCCGCCGGCGTTTTTCAGCCTCTCACACGGCCGACACTCGGCCCGGGGAGGGATCCCTTAACGTTCCTCGCGTCCGGTGCGGGAGAACGCGAAATGGCTGATAAAAGTTCCGTCGTCGTAACCCGCCGCTCGCAGGCGAGGCTCCTCGTAATTTCGCTGATGGCCGTATTAGCCTTAGCAGCTGGAAAACGATCTTTCATTTCGATACGCTCAGTCGTTTGTCCCCGCCGCGCGTCATCCGCTCGGCTTTATACGCCGCGTTAAGAGTCATTCATTATTTCCGACGGTTTGTCCTTTTGACATTTTCACTCATCAGCAGGCGATTGTTGCACTTTTGCGCGATTGAAGCGCATGGCTAATCGTTTGTCGTTGAAATTCCACTCCCATGGAAGCACGAGAGAGCAAGGCTGACAGTGTGTTTGCCCGAATATATTTTGAACACGCGGTTGTAAACGCATTGATACATTTGCAAGTACGCGCGCATTTCCGAGTATTACACGACTCGCGCTTTGTTATTAAAGCAGTTCGGTCGGACGGGTCTTACACCTTCACGCGGGATTTCTTTTGTTAACTGTCCGCAGGACGGAGGGTCGCCGGAGGGCGTCGCCGCAACGTTTTACACTCCGCATGACGTTGATCCCCTCTATAATTCGCGCCAAGAGCGGCATGATGATGCGGAGCCAACCAGGCTCGCGACGATTTCGAGTGGTAGAAAAGCTTTGTGCGAACCCGCCGAGAGGGAAAGAGGAAAGCATCACGCGCTAATGGCTGATCTCGCGATGTGCAATTAAAGGGGGATCATTCCGCTCGAATTGCTTGTTCGTTTGCGTAGCCTCCTAACAGCGGGAGCGGAATGCTCGCTTAATCAGTCATACTCGTTCATCAGTAAATTACACACTAACGCCCTCGTTAAGTG